GCACGCCTGTAATCCTAGCTACTCAGGAGGCTGAGGCAGGAGAATTACTTGAACCTGGGAGGCAGAGGTTGCAGTAAGCTGAGATCCCACCAGTACTCTAGCCTGGGCAACAGAGCAAGACTCTGTCTCAAAAAAAAGAAAAGAAAAAAGAAAAAAAAATTAATCTTTGGCCAGACAGTGACTCACGCCTGTAATTCCAGCATTTTGGGAGGCCAAGGAAGGAGGATTGCTTGAGCCCAGAAATTCGAGACAAGCCTGGGCAACATAATGAAACTTCATCTCTACTAAAAAGATTAAAAAAAAAAAAAATTGCTAGGTGTGGTGGCACATGCCTGTAATCCCAGCTACTCGGGGGGCTGAGGTGGGAGGATCACTTAACCCCAGGGGGTCAAGGCTGTAGTGAGCTTTGACTGCACTACTATACTCCAGCCTGGGTGACAGAGAGATCCTATCTCAAAAAAAAAACAAAAACAAAAAACTTGTAATCCTCTACAAAGCTTACTCAAATTCCACATCCTCCAGAAAGTATTTCTTCATACTTTCTGGATTTGATTTAATCAGCTTCATCTTTCTACTTTCTCCTAGTAAGAAATCTCAGCCATGTACTAATCAGGTGCAATTTCACTACCATAGCTGTACTTATATATATTTAGCCCTTTACTATAGCAATATTTTTTCTGGCTTGCAATATGCTTCTTTCTTCCCTTCTCTGCTTATCAGCCATTAGTCAGCCTTGCAAACCTGTATTAGCTTAGGCAACCATAAACAAAATACCACCGATTAGGTGACTTAAACAATAGAAATTTATTTGCTGACAGGTCTGGCAGCTAGTGGTTCATAATCAAAGTGTGGACAAAAGTGGTTTCTGGTGAGACCTCTTGTCCTGGCTTATGGACAACCATTTTCTGCTATGTCCTCAGAAAGCCATTCCTCCTTTCCCGTTAGGAAGGAGGAGTTAGCACATGATTTCTGCCATCTCTTTTTACAAAGACACTAATTATATCAGATCAGAACCTTCTGACCTCATTTAGCCTTAGTTATTCCCTTCGAGGCGCCATCTCTAAATACAGCCACACTGGGGTTAGGGCTTCAACATATGAATTTTAGAGAGACACATTCAGTCCATTACGAAACCCACTGTCACATTCATAGCTAAACCTAAATATTACCTACTCTGTGAACTAACCAAAATAAGTAAGAATATCTTCTTCATGTTTCCATAGCAGTTAATGTTTCCATAGCACTCTGGGAACTAAATATGTTTGTTTTTCACTGTCCATGTATGCTAAAAATGAAAATGTTGGACAAGGGTTCAATATACATTTAATAGGTTAAACTTTGTTCATTTGTATTTTCTAAATCTGTACTCCATTCTGTCTTAACAATTTGTGAATCTCTATTACGACTGTTTATTGTCCATTTCTCCTTGTAATTTTGCCAATTTTTGCTTTATACACTTTGAATATACTGTTAAATGCATAGAGGTTAAGGACTGCCAAATTTTCCTGCAAAATAAACTGTTCCTTTTAGCATTAAGTAATGTCACTTTTATCATTAATTGGTTTTATGACTTAAATATTTTAGTACCAATTTGATAACATTAATCAGCTATCTTTTGGTTATTTTCCTGCTATATTCTATTGCTTTACATTCAACCTTTCTGTATAATAGAAAGGTTATGCCATGTTTTATACCTAAAACATAATGTTTTAGGTATAACATGCATGTATACCTACATTTTTTTAACCCAATCTGAGAATTTTTGTATTTTAAGTGGCAAGTTGAGTCCATTTATTTCTGTTGTTAATACTGATATATTTATTTTCATGGCTACCATCTTATTTTGTAATCTCTATTTACCGAGATTATTTTCCTCTACTTCTTTTTCCTCCTTTCCTGTCTTTTACTGTAATGAGTGAATTTTCTTCAATGGCATATCAAGAGAATTACAGTGGATGTAATGTAGACAATAAGAGGGTATATTTTTCTGTGGAGAACTTAAAAACAATAATAAAATCAAGTAAAGATAAGTCTGCTTTTTATTATCACCTTGTGATGGCAATTCTAAACATGTTAGTTTAGACACTACTTAACGTTCTTTTTGCTACGGTTCCTGTTAAGTTTTAATAACGTGTATGTGAAGTTCAATTAACACATTTTTATTACTTATCTTTTAATAAACACTGTATTCTGGCTGGGAACAGTGGCTCACGCCTGTAATCCCAGCACTTTGGGAGGCCAAGGTAGGTGCATCACCCGAGGTCAGGAGTTCATGACCAGCTGGGTCAACATGCTGAAGCCCTGTCTCTACTGAAGAATACAAAAAAATTGCCAGACATGGTGGCAGATGCCTGTAATCCCAGCTACTCAGGAAACTGAGGCTGGAGAATCACATGAACCCAGGAGACGGAGGTTGCAGTGAGCTGAGATCATGCCACTGCACTCCAGCCTGGGTGACAGAGGCTCATTCTCGAAAAATAAATACACAAATAAATAAACACTGTATTCTACATGAAGTTAATTTGGAGAACTCTCAGTTATCTGTACCACACACATGCACAAATAAACCCAGCTACTCGGATCCCTAGATACTGTTTTTCATGGTTCAGAATCATTCAAGCTCAGTTCATGGGCAATTTCATATCTCCAATCCCTGTTGTACTACGTTTCAAAATGAAGATTATAAAGACAAAGAAACAAAATGCTGGCAAATCCAATTCTGTTTTCCATGAATGCCAAAAGCAAAAACAAAAGACAAGGTTGGCAAGAGAATTTAAATGGGCAAATGTTTGAATATCTCAATTGTTTGTACCAAAAGCATTCTAAAGCAATAGATCGTTTAACGGCAATGTTTGACTCATTTAGCCATTTTCTCGATTTTTAGAGAAGAAAACTTTAGAAGTTTTTACCAAATATGATGGATTTCATGTAAAGACATTTTCATGAAAAAAAATTATTTTTTTAGACAGAGTCTTGCTCTGTTACCAGGCTCACTGAAGAGTCCACCTCAAGCAATTCCCCTGCCTCAGCCTCCTGTCACCATGTCTGGCTAATTTTTGTATTTTCTTAGTAGAGCTGGGGTTTCACCATGTTGGCCAGGCTAGTCTCGAATTCCTGACGTCAAGTAATCAGCATGCCTCAGCCTCCCAAGGTGCTGGGATTACAGGCATGAGCCACCATGCCCAGCCAAAATATTTCAACCTACAGAGATATTTAAAAGCCACTAGAATTGATAAAAGGAAAAATATACAATGACTGGGCGTAGTGGCTCATGCCTGTAATCCAAGCACTTTGGAGGCCAAGGCGGGCGGATCACCTGAGGTTGGGAGTTCAAGACCAGCCTGACCAACATGGTGAAACCCCAACTTAAAAAAAAAAAAAGAAAGAAAAAATATACAATCAACATTGCAATTTCTGGAACTTATTGTAAAACAAAAATTTTAATGAAACTGCCAAATTTACTCTTCTTCTTGTTTCTCTTAATTTTACATATGCACACATAGGAATACATGTGCACGTGCGTGTGGGTGTGTATATGTAAATATATATACACACACACTATGTATCTGTTGTTTCATGTGAAAGAAAAAATGCACAAAATTGAAATTAGAAGCTTTATTTGATCAACTACAGAGAGACACAGATTGACAAATCTGCTATACTATGTACTGAGCAGGAATATGCAAAGAATATCAACTTTGACAGATTTACAAAAGCTGTTGGTTTCCTTTCTGGTCATTATTTTTCATTTCATTTCATAATTATTACTAAAAGTAATTCATCACATGAAGAAGGGAGGTGTTAAAAATTATCTACTTCAGGTATAAATACAAAAAGTACATCATTTCCTTTACCATTTTTTCCTTTCAGTATTTTGGAGGTTATACATTTCTTCTTTTTTTTAAGATTGAGTCTCACTTTGTTACCCAGGCTGAAGTGTGCCATGGTGTGATGTCAACTCACTGTAACCTCCGCCTCCAAGGTTCAAGTAATTCTCATGCCTCAGACTTCCAAGTAGCTGGGATTACAGATGCATGCCACCATAACCAGGTAATTCTTGTATTTTAAGTAGGACAGGTTTCACCATGTTGGCTAGGCTGGTCTCAAACTCCTAACCTCAAGTGGTCCACCTGCCTTGGCCTCCAACAAGTGCTGGGAGCCTGTAAGGGTGAGCTGCCGCACCTGGCCACATTTTATTTCTACTCTTTGGGCAATTACTCTTAAAATTGTAAACTTATAAACTTGGCTTAAACTAATCTAAGGTTAACCAGTATCTCTGACCTCCTTCCAAGTAATGTTCACAAATCAATGAACTCTGATTTCACTCTCCTATCTTTCACTTTATTGTTGATAATAATTTTAGATCCACTTTGCTTTTAAATCCCCCCAAATTTACCCATCATCATTATTATTTACACTCAGGCACACACCACAACACCCGTCTAATTTTTGCATTTTTGTAGAAACGGGGTTTCACCATGTTGCCCAAGCTGGTTTTGAACGCCTGAGTTCAAGCGATCCGTCTACCTCGGCCTCCCAAAGTCCTGGGAGCCACTGTGCCTGGCCTTTTCCCTCAGTTTTTTTTTTTTTTTTTTAAGAGAGACCGGGTTTCACCACATTGGTCAGATGGTCTCGATCTCCTGACCTTGTGATCCATCCTCCTCGGCCTCCCAAAGTGCTGAGGTGAGCCACCGCGCCTGGCCTGTTTTTTTGTTTGTTTGTTTGTTTTGTTTTGTTTTGAGACAGTCTTGCTCTGTCTCCCAGGGTGGAGTGCAGTGGCACAATCTTGACTCACTGCAACCTCTGCCTCCCAGGTTCAAGTGGTTCTCCCACCTCGGCCTTCTGAGTAGCTGAGATTACAGGCGTAAGCCACCGTGCCCGGCCTTTCCTCAGTTTTTAAATTGGCTCTTACTCATGAACAACAGTTTAGCGGAACTGATCTCTACAGTACTTTAAAGATATTACTGCACTGAATTCTTAAATTCCACTTAAATACTTACTTCCTCTTCCTCCTCTTCCTCCTCTTCTTCCTCTGCTTCTTCTTCTTCTTCATTAAGAGGTGGAGGTAAAGGACCAAGGATATCCTCCATAAAATTAAACGGTTTTCCTACCATTGCAGGGGGTAAAGGAGGGCCAATCAACTCATCATCAGAAGAGTCAGAACTCTCTTCACTTTCACTGCTGCTCATATCCCTGAAAATACAGAAACAGAAACTCTTTGCCTCTGCTGCAATAAACAGCACACTTTGCAAATAGTATTCATTTCTCAGGAAACCTTTCCTCTTCTTTTAACAACAATTGGGTATTCTTCAGTTTTTTTAAATTTGTAGTTCAAGTATTAAATGTTTAATGCAAATATTATTTTATCTTAAGAAAGTTAAAAAAAAACCTACTGTCTTACTCAAACGTTAAGTCAAAAATAATGGATCACAGCAATTATATGTTAGATGCCATTAGACCATTATTACTCATCAAGAGACAGGTGAGACTGAATGCAATGGTTCACACCTGTAACCCCAACACTTTCAGGGACCAGGGCAGATGGACTACTTGTGCCCAGGAGTTTGAGAGTAGCCTGGGAAACACCATGAGACCCTGTCTCCACAAAAAATAAAAATTACCCAGGTGTAGTGGCATGTGCTTGTGGTACCAGCTACTCGGAAGGTTAAGGTGGCAGGATCACTTGAGCGGCAGTGAGCCATGACTGCATCCCTGTACTCTAACCTGGACAAGAGAGTGAGACCCTGTCTCAAAATTTATATAATAAAAATTTAAACATTTTAAAAAGAGGTGAACAAGGAAATATAGAAGAAAAACTACAAAATAGTAAAGAACAAACACCACTGAGATAACCAGTGCCTCGATTAACTATATTTGAATCCAATTCCTGATTGCCACAGGAGCAAATAAACCCAGTCATGTAAGGAAATTAGTATTACTCCCAAAATGTTTCAATATAATTTCCAAAATACAAATTATTTCTCATGGCTAATCCAAGTTTGCTACATTGTCAAAACATTAAATACAGCATTCTTGCATTCTAAAAACACCTTACTCTAACCATGGGGTCGAAGGGAGAGAATCCAGTCATGGGTTCTTAGTTTCTGTTTCTGGTCGGGCCAGTGAAGCGGTTTCCTCATCCCTCTTTTCTACTTATCACTAGACAGAAACTAAAAACCGGAACTTCAGGATGCTAAAAGTCTAAAAGAAAACAACAACAGTATAAGGCAGTTTGGACAGGCTTGAGAGTCTAGGGCATATCATATTGATTCCTAAGTGGTTTCCTCTCCACCACACCTGAGGACTACTACACACTCTCATTAAGGTTTCTATCAAACACCTGTAGACATAGCCCTCTCCATCCACCACTCCTCCATCTGCCCCCAGAGTTGAGAATTCAGCATTCTTAATTGTATCAATTAATCTTTCAAAGATTTTATAAGATTAAAAGTGTCACTGCCTTCTAATGTATCTCTGGTATGTAAGCTCCAGGAACAAATTTCTGTTTTGTTTTGGCATCTAACATGTTTTTCTAGCATCTAAAACATGCTTCACATATAACAGGCACTCAATATCTACTGAAGGAAAAACATGAGATTGTTTTCATCTAGATTCAAAATTGAAAAGAATATATTCTCACATACACATTACCCTTAAACAGAGGTATATAAACTAGAAAACCTCCACAAATATCTGAGTTTCTAGATTTGAACCACTGCCTAGCTCAAATCTCCACCCCAAGAGGCCTTCTTTCCAATTGAACAGGTTAATTTTGGTTCACTATGAGGTCTTTGCACTTGCAGTTCTGTTGGCTGACTCACTCTTCCCATAGATTGTTACATGGCCTCTTTCTCATCTTTGGAGTTTCCTCAAATGTCTCCTCCTTAAAGAGGCCTAAGGGCACACCCCTTTTAAACTTTCAGGCACACCACCAGTTCCCATTACCTTAATTACCTTTGTTTATCCCATTACCTTTATCTTCATTACATGCTTGCTAAGTTATTTTATTTGGTTACTTAGTTGTTTATAATCTATTATCCATCCCTTCAAATACTCCCATAATAATGTGAGTTCAATAAGAACAAAGGTCTCATCAGACCTTGCTAATTGCTGTATCTCTGCCTGAAACACTGTGTAATCCACAGCAGATGCTCAATAAGTAATAGACGAATGACTAAATAAATTTATATTAAGCTATTCATACCCCAAAATCTTCCCCCTTATGATTAAAGCACAAGTTTCCAGCTCTACTGGTTTAGAAACAACAGATTATTTTTTTTCTTTGAGACAGAGTTTCACTCTGGAGTACCAGGACATGATCTTGACCTACATGCACTTCAAGCAAGTCAAGCGATTCTCTTGCCTCAAGCCTCCCAAGTAGCTGGGATTACAGGCATGCACCACCACGTCCAGCTATTTTTGTATTTTTAGTAGAGACAAGGTTTCACCATGTTGGCCAGGCTGGTCTTGACCTCAAGTGATCCACCCACCTCAACACCCCAAAGTGCTGCAATTACAGGCATGAGCCACCATGCCCAGCCATAAGTCACAGATTTTTTAATGCAAAATTATTCAAACCATGCCATCTACAGAATTGAACTCAAATGTTGATTATTAGCACCCATGCTAAGTTAACTGAGTTAACTTGCTAAGAAGTAAGCATTGAACTGAGTACTAAATTGATCCATGTTGATTTCATAGCTGATTATACAGGCCTAATAAACACATAAAATCTCGATGGAATGCATTTGCTTCTATGCAACTTCTAATTCCATGTCTGGCTTTCTGCTTCTAACATGCACAAACCAAAAAAAGATTTTTAACATATTTTTAATATTCTGAAAAACAAAATCCATGAAATTATGTCCAAAAATGGCCCTGATAAAAAACAGCATACATTCCATGTTTAAATCAATGCCTTGATTCAATGTGTTGCCAGAACACAAACTACAGCCTGGGAAATAGTATGTATTAAAAGAGAAAACGCTTAGAGTCAAATTCTATTTTTTTTCTCCTCAGCAAACATCTTGCAGAAAATTTTAACAAGCATTAAACAAAACCAAGGCCAGTGGCTCACACCTGTATCCCAGTACTTTAGGAGACCAAGGCAGGTGGATCACCTGAGGTCAGGAGTTTGAGACCACCCTGACCAAGATGGTGAAACCTTTTCTCTACTAAAAATACAAAAATTAGCTAGGCATGGTGGTGGTTGCCTATAATCCCAGCTACTCGGGAGGCTGTGGCAGGAGGACCGCTTGAACCCAGAAGGCAGAGGTTGCCATGAGCCAAGATGGTACCACTGCACTAAAGCCTGGGCAGCAGAGCAAGACTCTGTCTCAAAAAATAAAAATAAACAATATCTGTAGTGGTACAATTTCACTTTAGGAAGTAAATTCATAAGCACAACTCACTGTTTCTAGTATCAATTTCTTCTTTTGTGTGTGTGTGAGACAAAGGTTCGCTCTTGTTGTCCAGGCTGGAGTGCAATTGCACAATCTCAGCTCACTGCAACCTCTGCCACCTGGGTTCAAGCAATTCTCCTGTTTCAGCTTCCCGCATAGCTGGGATTACAGGAGTGCACCACCATGCGCGGCTAATTTTTTGTGTTTTTAGTAGAGATGGGGTTTTACCATGTTGGTCAGGCTGGTCTAACTCCTAACCTCAGATGATCCCCCGCCTCAGCCTCCCAAAGTGCTGGGATTACAGGCATAAGCCACCGTGTCAGGCCTCTGGTATGGATTTTTAAAAAGAAAATGCAAATGCCTAAATGATTCACACCTCACAAATTCAAAGTACATTTATCCTATTCATAGGGTAAATGACGTTTCTTCTCTGTATTTTGATTTTTGAGTGGCAACTTACATCCATATAACATTTCTTTAAAACCTATAATAGCAGCCGAGATCAGGCCATTGCACTCCAGCCTGGCTAACAAGAACGAAACTCCGTCTCAAAAAAAAAAAAAAAAAAACCAACCTATAATAGGTAGTAGTTTAAGATGACTCTCTTAGTCTAAACCAAATTTCAATACCATTGCAGATATTTTTTTTTAAAGTTCTGGGATCCACATGCAAATGTGCAGGTTACATAGCTATACATGGGCCATGGTGGTCTGCTGCACCTATCAATCCAACATCTAGGTTTTAAGCCCCACATGCATTAGGTATTTGTCCTAATGCTCTCCCTCCCCTTGCCCCCCACTCCCCTGGGATAGGCCCCAGTGTGTGATGTTCCCGTCCATGTGTTCTCATTGTTCAGCTCCCACTTATGAGTGAGAACATGTGGTATTTGGTTTTCTGTTCCTGTGTTAGTTTGCTGAGGATGATGGCTTCCAGCTTCATCCATGTCCCTGCAAAGGACATGAACTCATTCTTTTTTATGGCTACACAGTATTCCATGGTGTATATGTGCCACATTTTCTTTATCCAGTCTATCATTAAAGAGCATTTGGATTAGTTCTTTGTTTTTGCTATTGTAAATAGTGCTGCAATAAACACACGTGTGCACGAGTCTTTATACTAAAATGATTTATACTCCTCTGGGTATATACTCAGTAATGGGACTGCTGGGTCAACTGGTATTTCTGGTTCTAGATCCTTTAGGAATTGCCACACTGTCTTCCACAACGGTTGAACTAATTTACATTCCCACCAACAGCGTAAAAGTGTTCCTATTTCTCCGCAGCCTTGCCAGCATCTATTGTTTCCTGACTTTTTAATAATCACCATTCTCACTGGCATGAGATGGTATTTCATTGTGGTTTTGATTTGCATCTCTCTGATGATTAGTGATAATGAGCTTTTTCCATATGTTTGTTGGCCACATAAATGTCTTCTTTTGAGAACTGTCTGTTCACATCCTTTGCCCACTTTTTGATAGCGTGGTTTGTTTTTCTCTTGTAAACTTAAGTTCCTTGTAAATTCTAGATATTAGACCTTTGTCAGATGGGAAGACAGCAAAAAAATTTTCTCCGATTCTGTAGGATGCCTGTTCAGTCTGATGCTAGTTTGTTTTCTTATTTTTCTTTTTTTTTTTGATGCTAGTTTATTTTGCTGTGCAGAAGCTCTTTAATTTAATTAGATCCCATTTGTCAATTTTGGCTTTTGTTGCAATTGCCTTTGGTGTTTTTGTCATGAAGGCTTCACCCATGCCTATGTCCTGAATGGCATTACCTAGCTTTTCTTCTGGGTTTTTATGGTTTTTAGTTTTACAATTAAGTCTTTCAATCTTGAGTTAATTTCTATACAAAGTTTAAAACAGGGGACCAGTTTCAGTTTTCTGCATACAGCTAGCCAGTTTTACTAGTTCTTTAGGACTACCAGCTGATATAGATTTTAGAGGACTGTCTTTCTCTAAACCAAGTTTCAACACCATTGCTGATATTCAAAAAATTTGCACGTTTTGTGAAACAGACTCTGAAGATACCAAAAAGGAAAAAAATTAACCTGACAATTACCAAAATATGTAAATGACTGAATAAAATACATCCAATAGAGCAAAAGAATAATCCCAGAAATGTATTTAACTTAGAAAAAACTTACATTTAATGAGTATGCATTTAAAAACTGAAGAAAATTATCGTTGAGTAATGAATGCTGGAACATAAGTTAAAAAACGACCTTGGAATCATACCTCATATTAAGCCTTGGACTCTCCAAGATGAAATCAACCCCCCAAAAAAGCAAACAACTAAGCTTCTGTTTAAAAAATGAACAGTCAGCTGGGCACGGTGGCTCACGCCTATAATCCCAGCACTTTGGGAGGCCGAGGTGGGTGGATCACGAGGTCAAGAGATCAAGACCGTCCTGGTCAACATGGTGAAACCCCGTCTCTACTAAAAATACAAAACATTAGCTGGGCATGGTGGTGCGTGCCTGTAATCCCGGCTACTCAGGAGGCTGAGGCAGGAGAATTGCCTGAACCCAGGAGGCGGAGGTTGTGGTGAGCCGAGATGGCGCCATTGCACTCCAGCCTGGGTAACAAGAGCGAAACTCCGTCTCAAAAAAAAAAAAAAAAAGAACAGTCAACAAATATATTTACATCGCTTTTCCTCTGAAATGGATAGACAGGAAGGTAAAAAGATTTTTTTCTTTAATAGATCTAGTCTTATATTCAGATAAAGTGGTTTTTGTGAAAAAAGGCAAAATATCAGTTTCACTTACAGTAACAGCCAAGTAGATTACATCAAAAAACAAAACAAAAACACCTTCTAACAGACATCCATTATAAATTTCAGACAAAATACCAAAAACAGGTAGAAACTGAAAATTAACACCTGTAAGAAGAGAATGACATTGGGTCATTCCTTATTTATTTATTTATTTTTTTAAAGACGGCGTTCCACCCTGTTGGTCAGGCTGATCTTGAACTCCCGACCTCAGGTGATCCACCCACCTTGGCCTCCAAAGTGCCTGGATTACAGGCGTGAGCCACCACGCCCGGCCCATTCCTTATTTTTGAATGGTTTTTATCCTTACAGGAGAACCAATCATGTACTGGGTAGCTAAAACTCAGATAGGAACCTGCCTTCTTAATCAGAGGACGGAAATCAGGATGGAAAATGAGGAGCAGGGCCGGGCGCGGTGGCTCAAGCCTGTAATCCCAGCACTTTGGGAGGCCAAGGCGGGTGGATCACGAGGTCAAGAGATCGAGACCATCCTGGTCAACATGGTGAAACCCCATCTCTACTAAAACTACAAAAAATTAGCTGTGCATGGTGGTGCGTGCCTGTAATCCCAGCTACTCAGGAGGCTGAGGCAGGAGAATTGCCTGAACCCAGGAGGCGGAGGTTGCGGTGAGCCGAGATCGCGCCATTTGCACTCCAGCCTGGGTAACAAGAGCGAAACTCCGTCTCAGAAAAAAAAAAAAAAAAAAAAAAAAAAAAAAAAAAGAAAATGAGGAGGAAAGACCCCTCAGAGGAAAAAGCTACAAAAGGAAAGGAGAGAAAATTCTGCCTAAAACTCTACACAACTTTCTGGTTGCATTCTGGAAAACACATGCATGGGGCAGATTCCAAGCAGTACAGGTAAGACTAAAAGAACCAATGAGGCCACATGCGGTTGCTCATGCCTGTTATCCCAGCACTTTGGGAGGCCAAGGTGGGTGAATCGCTTGAGCTCAAGTGTTCAAGACCAGCCTGGGCAACATGGTGAAACCCCATCACTACAAAAATTAGCTGGGCCTGGTGGCAGGCACCTACAGTCCCAGCTACTTGGTGGGGCTGAGGTGACAGGATCACTTGAGCCTGGGAGGCGGAATTTGCAGTGAGCTGAGATGGTGCCACTGCACTCCAGCCTGAGCAACAAAGACCCTGTCTCAAAAAAAAAAAAAAAAAAAGTAACAAAATGGGAAGAACAGCCATAAAAAACAATGAGTTCATGTCTTTTGCAGGGATATGGATGAAGCTGGAAGCCATCATCCTCAGCAAACTAACACAGGAACAGAAAACCAAACCCTACATGTTCTCACTTTAAGTGGGAGTTGAACAATGAGAACACATGGACACAGGGACGGGAACATCACACACTGGGGCCTGTCAGGAGGTGGGAGGCAAGGGAAAGGAGAGCAGTAGAAAAAATGCCTAATATATGCTGGGCTTAAAACCTAGATGACGGGTTGACAGGTGCAGCAAACCACCATGGCACATGTATACCTAGGTAACAAACCTGCACGTTCTGAACATGTATCCCAGAACTTTAAAAAAAAAAAAAAAAAGGAAATATTGAGGACAATGTACACTACATGGGTAATTAAATTCAGACTTCACCACTATATAATTCATCCATGTAACCAAAAACCACTATACCCCAAAAGCTATTGAAATAAAATAAAAAACAAAAATTTAAAAAATGGAAATCATACAACTGAAAAATATATGAAATTGTTTTCTAAATTATGTGGATGGACTTAATAGCATCTAGAGATCACAGGTAAATGAGAAGACAGAAAAATAGAAATTATCCAATCTAAAAAATAGAGATTAAAAGACTAAAAAAACTAGAATTTCTGTGACTTGTAAAACAAAAATCAAAAAGTTTAAAATGTGCATAACTCAATACCCAGGAAGGAGAGAGAAAGGGCCAGAAAAATAATTTAAAAGTACCCTAGACTGGGCGCGGTGACTCATGCCTGTAATAACAGCACTTTGGAAGGCCAAGGTGGGCAGATCATTTGAGGTCAGGAGTTCGAGACCAACCTGACCAACATGGTAAAACTCTGTCTCTACCAAAATTTCAAAAAAATTAGCTGGGCACGGTAGCCCGCACATGTAATCCCCAGCTACTTGGGAGGCTGAGGCAGGAGAATCACTTGAACCTGAGAAGTGAGGGTTGCAGTGAGCCCACATCATGCCACTGCACTCCAGCCTGGGCAACCTTCTCAAACAAACAAACAAAAAAAGAGTAACTGGGGGCCGGACCCAGTGGCTCATGCCTGTAATCCCAGCACTCAGAAAGACAAGGCGGAAGGATCATGAGGTCAGGAGTTCGAGACCAGCCTGCAAAACATAGTAAAACCCCGTCTCTACTAAAAATACAAAAATTAGCTGGTCATGGACATCCAGGTACTTAGGAGGCTCACACCTGTAATCCCAGCAATTTGGGAGGCCAAGGCAGGCAGATCACCCGAGGTCAGGAGTTTGAGACCAGCCTGGGCAACGTGGTAAAACCTCATCTCTACTAAAAATAGAAAAATCAGCCAGGCGTGGTGGTGCATGCCTGTAATCCCAGCTACTTGGGAGGCTGAGGCAGGAGAATCGTTTGAATCTAGGAGGTGGAGGTTGCAATAAGCCGAGATCACACCACTGCACTCCAGCAAACAAAAGAGCAAGACTCTGTCTCAAAAAAATTAAAAAATTAAAACTCTATTAACACCTAGAAACTGATAGTTTAACAGAAGTCTTTTGTAAAAATCAGGCACCTGGAAGATGATTTGGAACAATCTCTGATCACATTTAATCCTGAGGATGTTGGTTCAATATCTTCATTTTGTCTTCTTAATTCTTTCTCTCTGTTCATTTCTTCTTCTTTTTCTCTTGCTTCTGAAAAAGAGTTAAAAAAAAAAATTCCAACCATTACAATTCAAAATTTGTTAGAAAGGCAAAAAATTAACATAGTCACAAACACATAGCTTACAGTGTTACCAGTAAAAGCAAAAAATTATCGACCATAGCCACTGTGGAAAACAATATGGTGGTTTCTCAAGCTAAACATGGAAATACCATGTGATCCAGTAATTCCATTTCTGGTACACATCCAAAGAAACTGAAAGCAGGGCCGGGTGCAGTGGCTCACGCCTGTAATCCTAGCACTTTGGGGGGCCGAGGTGGGTGGATCACCTAAGGTCAGGAGTTCAAGACCAGCTTGGCCATCATGGTGAAACCCCATCTTTAAAAAAAAAAAAAAATATATATATATATATACACACACACATATATATAATACATACATATATATATATACTTATATGTATACATATATATGTGTGTGTATGTGTGTATGTATGTGTGTATATATATATATAAAGAAAAAAAAAGAAACTGAAAGCAGGGTCTAAAAAAGATATTTGTATACCCACATTCATAACAACATAATTCACAACAGCTACAATGTAGAAGCAACCAAAGTATCCATCTATGGATGAATGCATTAGCAAAAGGTAGTATATCCACACAATGAAATATTACACAGCCTTAAAAAGGGAGGAGATTCTGCAATATGCTACCAGTTGGATAAACTTTAAGGACATTATGCTAAGTGAGAGAGACCACTAACAAAAAGACAAAAAGACAAACATTATATGATGCTACTTACATGAGGTAATCTAGAATAGTCAAAGTCAGAGACAAAAAGTAGAATAGTGGGTACCAGAGGCTGGAGGAACGGGGAATGAAGAACTGTTTAACACGTATAGAGTTTCAGCTTTACAAGATGAACAGTGTTATAGAGATGGATGGTGGTGATGGTTGTACAACACTATACACTTATTAAGATGGTACCTTTTATGTGCATTTTATCACCTTT